AGGGCTGTAGCTGCAGTTCAGGATGAGCAGTGCTTGGAAAGAGGAGCTGGATCCATCCCTGGAAGTGTCCAAGGCCAGGTTGGAGCAACCTGTGGGGTGGGGAAGGCGTCCCAGTTGGAATCTGATGATTTTAAGGTCCCTTCCCGCCCGGCCCATCCGCGATTCCGTGAAAAGCCGGGATGCAGCTGTCACCTCCCATCCCTGTTTTCCATCTCGTCACCGGAAGCTCCGGAGCTGGAACCAGCAGCTCCTGCGTTTTTCCACATTTTTGCTTTGAAACGCTGACGCCTTCGCCAGGTGCAGAAATGACAGCAGTTCTGCTGCTTTACCTGGATTTCCCTTGGGTGTTCTGAGCTTTCCAAATTGTCTTTGCAAACTCCTGCCCCATATCCAGTGCCCTGTAACCATTCCCAGCTCTTCCCCATTCCCACCTCTAATAACTCCAAAGGGAAAAGTGCCCCGTGGGATTTTCTTCTTTCAGCCAGGCCTGAAAATCCATTTCTTTTGCATTACTTGACTGAAATCACCGAATTTCTTGCTGTTTTTTCCTTTTTTTTTTTGCTCTCACTCATCCCCCTCTATAATTAAGTGTCATGGTTCCACCATGATCTTCAAATATCAAAATCGGGTGATTTTATAACCACACCTTTGGTCTTTTTTTATCATCTTCAGTTTCTCGCTTGTCCTCTCTGGTGGTTTTTCATAAAATCACAACATTTGGGTTGGAAAGGATTTTAAATATCATCCCAACATCCTGAAACGGGCAGGGACATCTTCCACTATCCCAACTTGGCCTTGGACACTTCCAGGAATCCAGGGGCAGCCACAACTTCTCCAGGAATTCTATTCCAGGGCCTCCCCACCCTCATCATAAAATCTTCCTTCTACCCTGTCTCCCTCTCCCCTCATTTCATTTTTATCCGGATTTTCCATAAGTGTTTCCTACTTAACCTTTTTGACTTTCCCGTTACAGCAGCAATTCCGGGTGCTGCCAAAGCACCTCTCTAATCCCTCAAAAGAGAGGGAGATAAGGGACAGAATTTATATTTCTCCTCTTTTTTTTTTTTTTTTTTTTTTTTTTCTTTTTTCTATTTCGGTGCCCAAACTGGAATTCCTGCCTGGCAAATTCCTGGCTGATGCAGAGCAGGCCCCCAGCTACATCAGGAAGGGATAATTAAAGTGGGATCCTTTATTCTGAAGCATCACCTCCTCTGAAGCAGAGATCAAGTCATTCTCAGGGAAATCAGGATTTCATTTGGAATTCACCTGAACACCTTTTGAAAACTTTTTTTTTTTTTTTGGGTTAGAGGTGAACATTAGCATTTAAATGGAGAATGGTATTAATAGCCCTCAGAGGAGCTGGGGTCATCCTGAGATTTTTTTTTTTTTTTACCCCTAAATGAGAAATCTTCTTAATTTTTATTCTCTTTTTCTCCAAGAACAGAGTTCAAGAGACCATTTTTTAATATGGATATCTGTAGGTATAGAATGGGTTCGTGCTTGGCAATTTGCTGCACTTTCTTTCAAAAGTGCTGCTTAAAACCCAACAAAACAAACCGGTTTGGGGGTCGGGTGGATTCTGCACTTTTGGTTTGCCCGTGGGATGTTTTTTTTTTTACTTTTTCCTGCAGGTGGGAACCATTTCCATCCCATTAAAGGGATATTTAACCTTCCCCGTCTGCTCTTAACACAGAGCTGTTCCTCATGTCATGGTGGATCTTCCAGGAGCAATTCCAGATGGATAAAGGGAGCAGGGAGGGTTCAGTTTTGTCCCAAAAAAAAGCCCAAAATTCAAGCCAGTGGTCAGAGGAACAGGCCATGGGTGTCTTGGTTCAACACATGAAAAATAGATTTTATTTCTAAAAAATGTTAACGAATCTTCGCCATCCAAGCTGTCAAAATTAGTTAATTATCCTATGTGAGCAGGATATTAATGCTTTGGGATCCCTCAGGCAATCCTTCACTCCTCATTCCCCAAAATATGACATTGACACTGGGAGAAGTTTTTTTTTACCATCCTGAAGAGCTGAAGGCTTGGAGCAGATTAATTCCCTTGTAAAGAGCAGCTCTTATTCCATAGGAATTCAGGAGAGATGTTCCCTAAGAACCTGTTCCATGGTTTTGTGTGTAAAATCTCTCCTGTCGGATCAGCCCAACAAATCCCATCGGTGCTTTTCAGCATAACACTAATAATTTTAATAATATAATATATTGTATTATATTATAAATATATAAATATAAATATATAATATTTTATTATATAATAATTTTATTCACAATCTCAGTGAAAACTGACAATAAACATGGAAACAAGAGGATTTCTCTGTTGGGATGAGTCCCTGGGGCACTTTGTTCCCATCAGCTGCATTCCCAAAATCCTGGAATGAGTTGGGATGGAAAGGGTCTCCAAAATCATCCCTTCCATGGGGCACCTTCCACCATCCCAGGCTGCTCCAAGCCCCGTCCAGCCTGGCCTTGGACATTCCAGGGATCCAGGGACAGGGAAGTTCTGCTCCAAAGCAAAAAAACCCGTGGTCTTCCCAAGGTGACAGAGCACCTTAAAGGGAAAAAAAAAAGGCAAAAAAGGACAAAATCTGCACAAACTGATCACTGGACAAGCCCAGCAGCTCAGCCCCATCTTCTCCTCACAGCTCCTTCCTCACCTGTCCTAAATCCAGCCTGACTGAAGAATTCCTGCACTCACAAACACGGGATTCATCTGTCGCTCTCCTCAGGATCAGATTATTTTTTAATTAAAATTTTCCTCTAAAATAAAAGGGGAGCAAGCGAGGCAGCAGGGAAGGAGCACAAGGTGTGCATTTTTAATTGGGTGCAATTAAAAACCTGCCGCTCTGGCATGGCAGCGCCCGCGGCCAAGCCCGATTTGCATGAGTAATTATTCCCTCCATTACAGAGTCTGCTCAACTTTGCCTTCCTTGTCTTTGAAAGTATTAATAAATATTGATCAGACGCTCTCCTGTTTGCCTTCGCCCAAGCAGCTCTGATGGACTCAGCCTCTGATGTTATCAAATAATGAAATATGAAAGAGGGAGCGGGATGAGCCTCTTGTTCTGTGATTTTTTATTTAGGCTCTTCATTTTCCTTTCACAAGTGTGTTTGTACCTGCCATTATAAACCCTTTTCTGATTATCAAGAGGTGGCTGAGGAAGGCGAGTTGTAAAGGAGGGAGGGAATAAATAAATGGAGGACAGGTGAGGGGAATCTGCTCCCTGGAATGCTGGCCAAGTGCTTGGTGGTTTTAAAGTTGAGGTTTAAAAACCAAGGAAAATAATTAAAAGTTAGCAAAAGCTCAGTCTGTCATCTGACGAATGGGTTAATAAATAATTATGTGGGATTAGCAAACCTAACCAAAGAGCAAATTTAGCTCTCCAAGATCTCTTTTGGCTTGAGCACGGGGAAGTTGATTTACCCTTCCCAGATCATCAGCCTGGGCAGGAAAAGCTCCCAGGGCTCAGCCATGGGAGATCTGGGGGGAGAAGAGAGGAAATCAAAGCAGGGGTGGAACTGGGTGGGCTTTAAGGTCTCGTTCAACCCAAACCACTCTGTGAGTCTCAACAAAGGGGATTTCTGGAACTTCTACTTGAAGACCTGCCCACGTTGAGCACAGGTTACCCAGAGCAGCTGGGGCTGCCCCTGGATCCCTGGAAGTGTCCAAGGCCAGGTTGGATATTGGGGCTTGGAGCAGCCTGGGATGGTGGGAGGTGTCCCTGCCATGGCAGGGGGTGAGCTTTGAGATCCCTTCCAAGCCAAACCGTTCTGGGATTTTAGGATGATCTTTCTGTGCTTTGTTCAGCTTTCCCTGCTCGTGGCACTGCTGAATAAAAGCAACAGCTCATGGAATTCTGCAAAAGCAGAGGTGTGGACCATCAAGCACCACAACTTAACCAGTGCTGGAACTCAAAATGTCCCTCAGACATTTTTGGAGGTTCCGGGCCCAGGTCAGAAGCATTTGAGACCCTGGCAGCAGCTGGAAACAGCTGGGATTTTGGGTTTGAGCCATGGAATGATTTATCAACCTTGCAGGAGGAACAAGAAATCACAAAATTTAGATTTTAGAGTAGAAGTAGTCACAAAGTAGAGGGAAGAATTTTTGAGTGCTGTACAGGGGGTTTTGGTTTTGTACGTGGGGGTCAGAGGTTTAAGATAGATTTGGGATTTGGGCCTGTCCTGTCCTCCCTCTTTCTCCTTCCTCACCTCCATGTTCTTGGTGATGTTGGCACTCACAGATTGGTTTAGAGTAGAAAATCACCATTTAATATAGGTAATGGGCATTGGGATAAACTGTGAACATGTAACACGTAATGTACCATATAAAAGATAGAAAATCACCATTTAATATAGGTAATAGGCATTGGGGGAAAACTGTGAACATGTAACATGTAATGTACCATATAAAAGATAGAAAATCACCATTTAATATAGGTAATAGGCATTGGGATAAACTGTAACCATGTAACACGTAATGTACCATATA